CAAGATTGATGGAGCTTTAAAATTTGTATAAAAATTTAATATTGAGATGACTATATCATAAGAATAGAGCTAGTGTCACTTAATACTACGGTTTAGTAGTATTTATTTTCATTTGTAAGTGAGAGGTTTTAGATTCAATTCTCGCCAAAGACGAATCTGAACCACATTATTGTTGTTAGCCCATTTACGAGCTTTAGTAAACAAGGATTAACACATTAGGTTCGAACCAAAATTTAAAGTTATGGCTAGCTCAAAACTATTACTATGAGATTTTCCTTTCAACATAATTGGATCTTCCTCTAGATTGTATGGATCTTGTTTGATATGATTTGACAAAAATAAAAAAAGAATTGGTTTAAAAAGGTTATAGGCATCATAAGGCTTATATGGTAAAAATAGGGGTGTGATATCCACACACCCCTTTTTACTTCTCCCACACATTTTTGGTTTTCGGCCGTCGGATCGGATGAAATAAAGAAGATCAACAGACAGAAATTAACAAGGGGTGTGTGAGAAGTAAAAATGGATGTGTGGATAGCACACCCCTAAAAATATAGGCCAGTTATAAGGCTTAGATGGTAAGAAAATAAAAAATTGTTTGCTTAAGCAAGTCTAGACTCAAACCCATGACTTGCTGGAAACTTTAAACTCTACTCCCCCAATAGGTCACATACTCTTATTTGTATAAACTAGCAATCAACATATACAAATGGGTGATATTTCAAGATGGGCCTGACCTATTCTGGCCTACACAAACATGTAGTTTTCTAATAAATAGTTTTAACATTGAATAGTTTCATAACGTATCACAGTCATCTTAACATAAGTGTTTAAATACGTAATGAAGCTAATAAATAAATAAAAATGTGACGATAAAAATTATGTGACATTCAAATTCCAGAAATTTTGTTTGATGACTTATTCATAACCATTAAACTTGATTTGATTCAATGGTTGATTTGTTTTGACAAAAAAAAAATGGTTAATTTGAATTTTTTTTATTTTTTGAAGAGATGTCACGAAAGAACGACATCAACGCTTGTGTTGCTCTTCACGTTCAAACGGCACGTCGCTTGAACAAGCTAGCCGCTCCATATAAAACGACACGATAGTCATTTCATTTAAGCCGAAGCTGGGAGCTACTCGGTCCCTACTGTGCTGCCGCAGCGGATACAAGTTTTTCCCGCCAAACCAGAGGCTTCGTTTCCAGTAGCTTCCTCTGCAATCCGTCTTCCAAATCTCGCCTCCAATGGTAAAGCCCTCTATCCAAACCCTAATTTTCCCAATTCAATTTCCACTGCTCAATCCACACCATCAGATCTCTTAATTTTCATTTCAAATCTTATGCGCCGTTTTGTTACTGAGAAAATGCGCGAAAGAGCTAGAATCTTATAATTTTTCAATTTAATTTCGAATTAATTACTCCAGTTAGTTAATTTACCTCATAGAAACGAAGTGCGTAATTTCGAATACGTTGCTATTTTTCGTCTATCTGATTTTTTGAATTCTGGTGGCGATGTTTTGAGTGCTGTTTAGTCGAAGAAACGAGGTCTTTCGTTGGACGAGAAGCGTGAGAAGATGCTTCAGATCTTCTACGATTCTCAAGATTTCTTCCTTGTGAGTGTTAATTTTAATGAATTCATAATTATTGTTACTAATTTGAATTTGCGAATCCTATTTTAGTTGATTTCTGTGATTCTAAATGGGATTATTTTCCAATTTTCTTGTATGAATTTCTTCATGATTGTGGACGGTGGTGATCTTTTCAGATTAACATTTTTGGTTATATTTTGAGTGTTTTGTTTGATGATTTTTCAGCTAAAGGAGCTTGAGAAGTCAGGGCCAAAGAAAGGTGTAATCTCTCAGTCTGTGAAAGATGTGATTCAGAGTTTAGTGGATGATGATCTTGTTTTCAAAGACAAGATAGGAACCTCCGTAAGTAGATGTTTCGGTGAATATCCTTCCTGATCGTATTTTGTTGAAGAAAATTGCAAATGCTTGTTTATCTTGGCAGTTCGTAATGCATATTGTTTCGAAATGTCAGGTGTATTTTTGGAGTCTTCCTAGCACTGCTGGAAATCAGGTGAATCTACGATGGTTTTACATTTTAACCTTGCTTGTACAGAGTAGGATATTTTTCTGAATTTTGATGAGTAAATACATGGTAACATGTTTGGGTGGTGGGCAGCTTAGGAATGTGTATAGCAGGCTTGAGTCGGATCTCAAAAGCAGTAAGAAGCGTCATGCAGAACTCATTGACCAGTGTAATGCACTGAAGAAGGGACGAGAGGATTCTGTGAGTGTTTCTAAGTTACATTTCTTCCAAAGGCTTGACTGTTTTCTACTTTGCAAGTATGTTCTATGTGGTTATCATCACGCATCTAAGTCTCAAGTTTTTACTAGGACGAGCGAGATGAGGCCTTAGCTGAACTGAAAGCCATAGAGCTAAAGCATATTGAGCTGAAGGTAGGATTATATACATTCTGCACATTTCTGATGCATTAGTGTCTTAGACAGTATAAATGATTAGATCAAATTGCTGACTGTAGTCTATTGTCGTTTTCAGGATGAGGTGGCGCAGTACGCAGACAATGACCCAGCCGCCTTCGAAGAGATGAGTTAGTTGACATTTCAACAATAGTAGAATGTCAGCCTTTTAACACCATAGAACTGACCGTATTTATAATTGTGTTTGCAGAGAAAGAAATTGAAGTTGCCCACTCAGCAGCTAATCGATGGACAGGTTTTACCTTCACATATTGTTCGATCCTCTTTTGAAATAACTTTCCGCAGGCCATAGAGAATTTGGAGATTTAATAACTGTGTTTCATTGCTGCGCAGACAACATCTTCACAGTGCGTCAATGGTGTGCAAATAATTTCCCACAGGCCAAAGAGCAGCTCGAAAACTTGTACAACGAGGTAATTTAGATTTAAAAGAGTAGAGGGCATGCCTTTATTTTTGTTTTGGACTCATGAGTTTGCCATGCTGAGGTTGTCTTTTTGTTTGTATGTCAGCTGAAAAAACACGCTCCATTTTAATCTTGCAATCTCGCTATCTTGTTTCCAAGTTTATCTGTTTCATTTCGTATTCGTATTTCTATTTACAAATGCAGATTGGAATAACGGAGGATTTTGACTATCTGGAGATGGCACCGGTTCCACTGAGCTCAGTTGGTGGTTAGTATTGCTCTATGATGTCTATTTTCAACAACTACTGCTCTATCGAGTTGAAAAATCGAGACTAAACAGATCGTACAAACACAGAAGCATATTGATTTACTTTGTTAAATATTCTCGTATATGAGAAATTCTAAGGAGACTCTCAAAGAATGGCTCTCTACCACTTCACAGTTTAATGTCAAATTCCCGAGCCAATGTTATAAAACATTATTCCAAGTTTTGCTATAAACCATTTCATATTAGTATATTTGACTTGTATATGTATTCTGATGTTTATTTCTATAGAAGGCAATACATTTTGGTATAGGGTTTAAGGGTGAACCTTGTGTCAATTGTTCAACGAACAAACATGCAAGCCATATTTCCGCTAATGTTTACTAGAAGAGTACTGTTATCGCAATCTAAGGTCTGTTTCTTTATCACCATGATATACGTTGTTATATTTTCTAAAACTACGTCTTTAGGATTATTGATGTTCAATTTTGTTAAGTGTTTTCAGACATGTGTTCTTAATAAGTAAACTTGTAATTTTGCTGACTTACTCTCATACGTGTGGGATTAAAATTACAATTAAAGATGATCTGTTATTTGTTGTTACAATCCTATAAATACGCTCTTAAGTATGTAGCACATAGTTGTTATGTACAGGTGGATCAAATTAATTAACCAAACAGATTTGAATCAATGAAAGAACATTCTGACCTTTCATTGTCTGTACAAAATCATAAAACCAAACGGTTCAAAATTCAAATCTGTCTGTTCTCTCCAACGCATGCTCCGAAATCCAACACAAACTGAACAGTTGTTGCTTGCCAAGTTGGATCTCTGTCAGTTATCTTGTTTTATGATGTGTCTATGAAAGAAAAGATCATCTCCGGATCTCTTTCACTAAGGGCACCGGATCAAGTGATCCAGATCTTTGAAATTTCATTCAACCGACCCATCTGTTTTGATCATTTAAAAATTATAATAATTTTTCTTTGAAATTTCATCCAACCGGCCCATCTGTTTTGATCCATTAAAAGTTATAATAATATTTTGCCGTTAAATGAAATTTCAAAAGTCCGAATCACTTAATCCGGTGGCATTGGTGGAAGAGATCCGATCTGTCTATAAAACACACCAACGGCACCATCATTTCCTACAATATTTCAAATTATTTATCCACAAAAAAAATTCAAAAAATAATAGACGACAAAAGAAAAATGTTAGGAATATCATACTTTATAGTTTTGTGGACCACATGAGAATTATTTATCAAATAGAAGTCAGATCTAATTATATTGGTGGATGCTACTTTTACTAGATAAATAATTCACATGTAATTTACAAAACGTAATTTATGTAGCATCTTCCAACGATAATATTTCAGAGTAAATTTTAGTTGTTAGAACTTTGTCATTATATCATCGATAAAAAAAATTATAACAATCATAAATTGAGTATAAAATATCCCGGAACATTCTAAAAAATTCGAATAATAACATACGAGCGGAGTCGACATATAAATTTAGGATTGAGTTGCATGTGGGAAGTACACAGAAGAAGGGGTCCCAAGTCATTGGTGGAGGCCCACATATCCACAGCTCGACATTACCTGTAGTTTTAACGTGCATGCAATCTCGGACGTCCACGTGGCTGGGTCAAGAGCATAGGATTTGGGGTGGGAGGCTGAGAGCCAATGAGCCAGAGTGGCCGTTTCCTTCGTGGAAAGATTCTCCTAGTCCGACTGTCGTTTTAGGCCGTTAGGGTTTGTCGTACGAGTCCTCCGGTTTATATAAATCGAAAACCGAGAGGTTGAAGGCCACCCTCATTTGGCACAACATTTGTTCTGGAGAAGAGAAATCCCATTGGGGCCGATTTGGGGGGGGGGGGGGGGGAGCGAGAGAAAGCTGTTTGGGAAGTGAGAAAATTTTACAGCTTTTAGAAAGGAAAAGAAAAGAAAATGGAGATTTTGAAGGTTGAATTCTTTGTGATGGCAGTTTTTGCCCTTGTTATCTCTCTGCTTCTCCCTTCCATCGATGCTCAAAGCCTCGCTCCTGCTCCTGCCCCTACAAGTGATGGTTAGTTTCTCCCCCTCTCTCTTGAAGATGCCGTGGAGAAACGATTTCCGCACACGGTTTTTTCTTTCTGCACTCTCTTTTTCGAGCCATTTGGATATGGCAGAAAATAAAGAGGTTTGCAGAAAGAGAGAGAGAGAGAGAGAGAGAAAATGTGTGCGGAAATGATTTCTGGATGCAGTAGTTTAAATTTTATATTGTAATGTGGGTGTTAACGCTAACCAACTGGCTTAACCCGTGTTTGCTTTCTGTTTATATCGTGTGGTTGATGATTGTTGTGTTTTGGTACGCAGGGGTGGCAGTGGATCAGGGAATTGCTTATGGGTTGATGGTATTGGCATTGCTCCTCACCTACATTATCCACTGATGAATCGCCATTTTTGGAGAAATTAAGATCCATCCATGATTAATTCTTCAAGAAACATGTGAAGTGCATTGTTGTTACATCTTCTTGTTGCTTGGCTTTTGCTAGCTAGCTAAAGCTATGTTCTTGTTCATTTGTTATTACCATTTTTATCGAAATCCCTATTTCTTTTCAATTTCAAGATACGTTCTTTTTTCGTCTCTTATCCTCTTCCTCTTTATTCACCCTCTCTCTCTCTCTCTCTCTCTCTCTCTCTCTCTTTCATTTTTTTCGTAATTATTGAAATTATTAAAGTGAACTCATGGGCAATTTTAATCAATTCACGAGAAGATAAGGGAGTGTTTTACTTGTAACCAGAAATAAATTCTTATGAATCCACGAAACTCGTGATTTATAAGGATATAATTCAGGTGACACGAGACGAGAGGATCTCTCAAGCGCAAGGGGAGAATGTCCTCACGTTGATTAAAACGTGGGAGCACCCTTTTTCTTCGTTCGTGCTCGATTTCAGTTCGTACCAAAAACTCCCCACCAAGTCCGACTGCTTGCACTCCCCATCAAACCTTATAAAAAAAAAAATATGAAAGGAGGAGGATTCTCTTTCCTCCTAACCTCTTCCCTTCCCTTCCCTCCTACATTAACGGTTAAACCACGTTAACAAAAACAAACCATTTGCTTCCAATACGCTTTTCTATTTACTTCCACTACACTTTTCTTTTAGAAAAATGTAAAATTATAAAATGTAAAATATATCAACTATTTACTATAATAATTAAGTATCAAACTCATCATTCATGTGACTCATTTGGGGCTAGTATCCTCCCTGGTTTGAGTTTTAAATCTAATTATACATTTACAAAAGAACAACAACAACAACAACAACAAAGCCTTTTCCCACTAAGTGGGGTCGGTTATATGAATCCTAGAACGCCATTGCGCTCGGTTTTGTGTCATGTCCTCCGTTAGATCCAAGTACTCAAGTCTTTTCTTAGGGTCTCTTCCAAAGTTTTCCTAGGTCCCTCTACCCCTTCGGCCCTGAACCTCTGTCCCGTAGTCACATTTTCGAACAGGAGCGTCAGTAGGACTTCTTTGCACATGTCCAAACCACCGGAACCGATTTTCTCTCATATTTCCTTCAATTTTGGCTACTCCTACTTTACCTCGGATATCCTCATTCCCAATCTTATCCTTTATCGTGTGCCCATACATCCCACGAAGCATCCTCATCTCCGCTACACCCATTTTGTGTACGTGTTGATGCTTCACCGCCCAACATTCTATGCCATACAACATCGCTGGCCTTATTGCCGTCCTATAAAATTTTCCCTTGAGCTTCAGTGGCCTACGATGGTCACACAACACGTCAGATGCAATCTTACACTTCATCCATCCAGCTTGTATTCTATGGTTGAGATCTCCATCTAATTCTCCGTTCTCTTGCAAGATAGATCCTAGGTAGCGAAAACGGTCACTTTTTGTGATCTTCGCTAGATTGCTCCGGTTATTAGTGTGGATAAGTATATAAATGGATAGAATTAGGAAAGCAAACACAAGATGTACGTGGTTCACCCAGATTGGCCACGTCCACGGAATAGAGGAGTTCTCATTAATTGTGAAGGGTTTACACAAGTACATAGGTTCAAGCTCTCCTTTAGTGAGTACAAGTGAATGATTTAGTACAAATGACATTAGGAAATATTGTGGGAGAATGATCTCGTAACCACGAAACTTCTAAGTACCGGAGTGTGGTATCGTCTTGACTTGCCTTATTTGTCTCATAGGTAGATGTGGCATCTTCTCTGGAAGTACTCTTCCTCCATCCAGGGGTGGTATCTGTAACTGGTGGAGATGCACAAGGTAATGTATCAATTTCACTTGAAGCTTACTTGTAGTTTCAGGCTTGGTCAAGCGCGATACAAACCATGTAGTAGGAGTCCCCCAAGTCGCCGGGCTAGGGGATCTGCTGAAAGAGGTGACATACAAGGTAAGCAATCAGAGCTCCAGCTGATTGTTCACATTCTCCCTATCTTGCAGGCAGCATGAAGGATAAAGAGAAGAAAAATGAGAAAGAGATGATATGGGATACTTTTTGCTTTTGAAGAAGTAACTTTCCACAAGCTTATTCTTGAACCGGGCTGCAGGGTTTTCTGGTTTCCTCCAGAGTATAAGGCTGACTGAAGAATTTGAGGGTCAAAACAAGTCCATCAAATCTAGAGTACGTTCAACCCTGCTGATATGGGATACTTTTGCTTTTGACAGAGTAGTGGATGTATCGGCACGTGTGCTGTTACGCTTGTCTCCACATGCTTCCTTGTATCCTTCTCACTTGCCCTATCTGTTCCTCAGACAGATGCGGTATCTTCCCTGGAAGCATAAGATGTTGAAGATGAGTACTCGAGAGCAATGCCAGGTAAGTAATCAGGTAAGGGGTTCCAGGCAGTCAGTTCCTGGCTTGAAGCTTGATTCCAAGTGCTGACTGATTGCTCTCGTTCTCCTTGTCTTGCAGGTAAGAACAAGGCCAAAGGAAAAGACAGGGAAAAAGCATGATATGGGATACTCTTGCTTTTAACCCTGATGATATGAGATATTATAGCTTGTTTACAGAGGTATTATCGGGGGGAAAGAAAGCTGAATATTTCGAAAGGCTTCGTTGGGAGTGCCCTCTCAGATAAGAGGAAGGGTTGAGCATTTTTGCAGGTCTGCCTGTCCGTTAGGGATGGAGGTCGACATATATAGGAGTCTCCCTAACATCAAGTAATAATGCTATTCCTTTACCCTGCTTGGTCATAACACGGTAGTAGGAGCTGCCAGCTTCACATGTTTTAACTCTGTCAGAGCACTTTGAAAAAGTGGTCTGTGGTATCTGGAAAGCTGATGTTGCGTGTGAAGATTACAGACAAGCTTTATCCAAGGAGATCCAGCTCTTGAAGTTGGGAAAGTGGTGCCTCTTCGGTTTTCGAACAAGCAATCCTGTCAGGGATCTGGCTCTCGAGATTCGGAGAACGATGCCTCTTCGATTTTTGAGAAAGCAATCCTGCTGGGGGTCTGGCTCTCGAGATTCGGAGAGCGGTGTCTCTTCGATTTTTTGAGAAAGTAATCATGTTGGGAGTCTGGCTCTCGAGATTCGGAGGGCGGTGCCTCTTCGATTTTGGAGCAAGCAATCTTGTTGGGAGTGTTTTCTCGAATGTGAGTAAAGGTTGGACATGTTTGCTAGTCTACCTTGCCACGAAGCACAGAGGTTGACACACAGGGACTTTCCAATTATCCAGCTTGTTCCTTTACCCTCTCTTCGATTTTGAGAAAGTAATCATGTTGGGAGTCTGGCTCTCGAGATTCGGAGGGCGGTGCTTCTTCGATTTTGGAGCAAGCAATCTTGTTGGGAGTGTTTTCTCGAATGTAAGTAAAGGTTGGGCATGTTTGCTAGTCTACCTTGCCACGAAGCACAAAGGTTGACACACAGGGACTTTCCAATTATCCAGCAGTGGTACTGTTCCTTTACCCTCTCTTCGATTTTTGAGAAAGTAATCATGTTGGGAGTCTGGCTCTCGAGATTCGGAGGGCGGTGCCTCTTCGATTTTGGAGCAAGCAATCCTGTTGGGAGTGTTTTCTTAAATGTGAGTAAAGGTTGGCATGTTTGCTAGTCTACCTTGCCACGAAGCACAGAGGTTGACACACCGGGACTTTCCAATTATCCAACAGTGGTACTGTTCCTTTACCCTTGTGGGTAATAATATGGTAGCTAGACCTTCAAAATTTATGTGTGTCTAAACTTTGTTAGTGTTGTTTCTTTGCTATTCTTTTACCCTTCTTGGTCAGAGCGATGTAGCGGGAGCTGCAAGCTTCACGTGTCTCAACTTTGTCAGAGAACTTTGGCAAAGTTATCTGTGGTACCCATGAGTTACTGTTGCGTGTGGGAAGTGGGTGATTGAACAGTACGATTCATGTGCTTTCTACTTCGCCAGAAATCTTCGACAGAATGCCCATAATTTCCGCAAAGCTGAGTGTGCGTGTGACAGGTGCTGACAAGGCTGGAAAAGTAGGTGCCTCTTCGATTTCTGAGATCGGCCTTCGTGGTCTCTTAGCAGCCCAGCTTTTGAGAAAGCAAGCCTCTTCGATTTCTGATATCGGCCTTCGTGGTCTTTGAGCAGCCTAACTTTTGAGAAAGCAAACGCCTCTTCGATTTCTTAGCAAGCGCCTCTTCGATTTCTGAAGCTTCGTCGAGTGCAGATTTTTATAGGGGCTGACATTAAGTTCCAAAGCACACTTGAATATCCAGCAGTAGAAGCTCCATTCTTGCACTTCTAAGATCTTGATTTGTCCGACCTCTTCTCTCTTCAACACCTTTGAAAAATGTCTGGCCCCCTCCGACCGTCGTTTTTACTTGAACCTTGTTGAAGAGGCAGCCCCGCCTTCTCCAGACAACATATGGCGCCCATCCTTCGTCTCCCCTACTGGTCCTCTTACCGTTGGGGATTCCGTGATGAAGAATGATATGACCGCTGCGGTAGTAGCCAGGAACCTTCTCACTCCCAAAGATAACAGACTACTTTCCAAACGGTCTTATGAGTTGGCTGTTAAGGATTCTCTGGCTCTCAGTGTTCAGTGTGCATGTTCTATGTCTAATATGGCCCAACGCCTATTTGCTCGAACCCGCCAAGTTGAATCATTGGCGGCTGAAGTGATGAGTCTCAAACAGGAGATTAGAGGGCTCAAGCATGAGAATAAACAGTTGCACCGGCTCGCACATGACTATGCTACAAACATGAAGAGGAAGCTTGACCAGATGAAGGAATCTGATGGTCAGGTTTTACTTGATCATCAGAGATTTGTGGGTTTGTTCCAAAGGCATTTATTGCCTTCGTCTTCTGGGGCTGTACCGCGTAATGAAGCTCCAAATGATCAACCTTTGATGCATCATCCTTCTAGGGTTTTGTCCAGTACTGAGGCTCCGAATGATCCCCCTCCGGTGCCTTCTCTTTCTGGGGCTCTACCGACTGCTGAGACTTCTCCTAAGCAACCTTTGTGAAGGCTCCCTCTTGTTTGTTTATTTTGACTCAAGTATATGTACATATTTGTAACTTATCGGGGATATCAATAAATAAGCTTTCCTTCATTTCAACGTATTGTGTTAAATACACCAAAGCCTTCTTCGCTAAGTTCTTTGAATTTTCTTTTGTTGAAGCTTGTATGTTGAAG